TCTATGCGCTACTGAATAATGTGATATAAACCACATACAGCATATACAGATACTTAATTTTATGTGTCACCGTGAGTCCAACTATGCCATGTACTTTATGTGCATTGCCTTCCATAATCTTTGTACCTATAATATGAAAATCCTCATAACTGGATCCATTTTACATTTGAAGACAATGGGAATTAGATATGTTAAGCAACAAAGTGGGGAGTACAAACACACGTCTCTGACATCACTTCTCATACATGAACCACACCGTACTGTCTCCTTCAAGAGATGGCAAACTGCTTCATTCTGATTCAACACTGACTGACTGTGTACTCTGTGGCTGGCACTGCTGGTGCCCCTTACACCTGTTACCTTCTTTCCTCTTCCAATTATGTTACAAGGGGGCATTTTTATTCCCATTGTGCAGATAAACCAAAGTTGCCTAAAGGTTATAACCCCTATTTTAAAGGGTAGGCCAAAAAAGTACTCAGATTTAGGCAAACAGAAATGATATATTCTAGTTAAAAAGAACAAAACAAAACACATATGATAAATTAATTCACCTCCACAAGTCAGTAGTCTTGAAAGCACAGTATGTGCGATAAATTCTCTGTGCAAGGTAATACCTTCAGTAGCATTCAGCTGCACTTGTTCTAAGGGCTGAGGGGTGAGAGCCATGAATAGGCTGCTCTATCCTTCCGAGCTAAGTAATTAGCTTAATAAGAGAACCCGAAGTCCTACGCTTCTGGAAAGAGATCTGAAATATTGAGGAAGTTCATTTCTTAAAATACTAAGACAATTTTATCCAGTAGGAAGTGTTCCTACTTAACAATCCTTTTAAAACTATAACAGCAGGTTTCTACTAATGTTCCCAGAATGAAAAAAGTTATTTATCAATGAATAAAAGTTCAGAGAATGTTCTCTCCTTGGTGAAAATTGGTATGGGAAGAGAGAAAGCGGAAGCCTTCCAGAACTGCTGGGAAAAGAACACACAAATGCCAGCAGTTGGAGCAAACGGGCAATGGGAAGCTTCTTTCAATGTGAACAATATATTGAGGGTGCACTTCACCCAGTTTCTCAATCACCAAAAATGTGGCTTAACTCCCCAGGCCTGTGGTTTTGGGAGAATGGCCAACACACAGTCTCTGATGCCACACCCTGTTTATGGAAGTCTATGACAACATCTTCTACTAACAACACACCCGAGGGCCAGGTGAGGAGGAGTAAAGGTAAGACACAAGAAACAGGAGTCACTGATAGCATGAGAGAAGGTGCTGCTGGTCTAGACATTTTTTTTTTTTCCAAAGCTGATTTGCAGTAAGTTGCCTTGAGCCTACATCATGGCTGGGCCCTGCACTCAACGCAAAATTACTGAAAAAGTTTTGCCGGAAAAAGTCGCCAGGAGAAAGGAGGGCAGAATATAGTAGTAGTAATAAGAGGGTAAAATGTGAGGTGATTTGAGAATTTTAGGAACGAGGTAGAAATAACCTAAGTAAAGTAAGCAGCGCAAAACATGAAACTTGGTTATAAATTATAGAAAACAAAGCATTACAATGTATGGTGTGTTCCTTTTATTGGCCATCATTGGTTGACATAATAGAGAATGTCTCAATCTGCCTCACCAGAGGGAAGGCTCAGTCCCCTCATATGGCTGTGTCTGCCTTTGAGAGGACAGAGGGCAGAGAGAGTGCTGCTCTAGAGCCAGACTGGGGTTCAGGTGGATCTCGGCTCTGTCACTTCCTAGCTGTGATTTCACTTCTCCAGGGCCTACTTACCTTACCCGTAAAATGCAATCAGTAATGCTTCTTACCTCACAGGAATTTTGTGAGCATTAAGTGAGTCATGTGTCAAGTACTGAGGAAAGTACTGGACCTGGGAAGTGCTCTAAAAGCATTGGGTAAATAAGCTCCTACTTTGGCGCTGTTCTGGGCATCGAGCATGTAATTTTAGGGTTTTCTAGAACCTTTACATTATCTCACTTGATTTGGAAAACTCTACTACAGTCAGAGCACCTAATATTTGTCTCCACCTTTAATATATAAGGGAAATTGAGGCCCAGAGAGGTAGAGGGACTAATTTGACCCAAATTCACAATTGAGGAGCCCACACTGAAACCCAGTTTTCTCAAGTGTTTAACTCGGGGTTGGTTAAACACTTTCAGGCTGACAATTCAAGATTACTCTGGACTTTGGGGAGAATTTTTCTGTCAAATGCCACCCCTATCGCAGTTGAGTCTTCATCTCTCAACTGAAAAATATTCCGCTTATCTTTACAGGTTCTTAGCCAAAAAGAGCAAAGTTCTTATATTCATGGTCGCCTCTCTATGCCAGTATTGTGAAATACGCGGAAAAATCTGGGAACACATCCTCGGGGCCATGACTCTGCAGTTTTATACTTTCTGAAACCAACAGAAGGCTACCCACGAGATAAGGCAAAAAGATAATTGAGGGCCCTTCTGTTACTGTTTATATAAGTTCTAGAATTTCCTGAATGGATTGAAGTGACTGCAGACTTGGTCTCCTAGGAATCAGAGCCCAGGTACTGGGAGGAAATTGCTGGTGGCTGGGAGGTGGGGGCAGGGCAGTGCACCCCCCAGAATACAGATCCACCTGTAACACATCATCCAGCTGCATTCCTGAGTGTGGGGTCCACAAGGAGGGCAACAAGGTGTACTAATGCTTTTGTGCTATAAATATGTGGAAATCCTTTTCCAACCTCAGAGATTAAAAAGTTCCACTCCAAAAGCAAAACCTTAGAAAAGTGGCACTTGTTTGTCACAGAGAGCAATATGCAAATGTGGACCAATTACCATTTTCAAAAGTGACTCAAGATAGTCAACGTGCAACAGTCCTTTGTTTTTGGAAACAGCAAAGGACAGCAAAGCCCCCAAACAACCCAATCTCCCAGGCCATAAGCCCGCAGGGAATGCCCAGGAGGGTCTAGCTTGGTATTCGGCAGCAGGCCAGGGCCCTGAGAACTCCAGGCTGCGAGCTGGACGCCTGGGAAAGTTTCCCTCTGACCATAAACAATGCTTGGTTGCAGCCCACTTGGCGCTCCCTCGGACAGAAAGCAGGGACAGGAACAGGACAAAGCAACAGTGGTGCCGGGACTACCAAGAGGCCTCCAAATTTTCAAAGGAAACGAGAAAATGGAAGTCACTACTCTCCACACACACCCCGCCCCGCCTCCCACTCCCACCCCACACACACACCCAGTCCCGAGATAACAGTCATCTCTGAGGCCTTCACTCCCAAAGAAGGTCCCCTTCTCGGTTACTCCTGCCACATGGCTTCCCCCTCCAGGGTGGGGGCTGGAGAGGGCCTGCTGGGAGTTCCAGTCCACCGGCCATAAAAACATCACGGGGTCCAGCCCAGGTCCTCCTGCACTTTGCAATTTAATTATTTTTATATCACAGGGTCCAGCCCAGGTCCTCCTGCACTTTGTGGTTGTTATTACCATTTTAAACGTGCTGACGTTTCTCTGCCTATCAAAGTGAACGGGGAGCAGAGACCCTATCTCTCCGCAGGTCCAAAGGCCAGTTTGGCCAAGAAATAGAGCCGCTGTGGGACTTTACACGCTTGGGGTGAAGAGAAGTTGCTTAAACTGCGGCGACTTCATATGCATTACTACAACTTGCACGTGCTTTTTATGCCCCCAAAGTTCAAATGGGGGGGGGGGAGGCTTTCAAAGTGGATGAGAATAAAGGGGGGAAATCACCACTGAAACATGAAAAGACGCCTCCAGTTTCCTTCCTGGAGTCTGACAACGGGACACTTTACCTGCAAGGGTACAGGAGCACAACTCCCTTTCGGAGGGGCCGGTTGAACAGCACAGAGTCAGCAGCTACATGGAGCAGGGAAGTTGCAGGCTGGCGCAGACGTCTCCAGCCTCCAGCCGCCACCCACCTTCCCCTTCCGGCCCCCCACCCTCTCCACAGCCTCTCCCTCCGCACCCGCTCCCGGCACGTACCGTGGGTCCCGTGGGTCGCAGCAGGTGCGAGGCAGCAGACCTGTCCAGGCAGGCGGGCGGCTGAACTGGGGGGACTTTCACTGCGCGCGGGCGGACCGGACGCCGGCGCCACGCCCACTTTGGCTAATTTCCTATTAATTTGCTCTCCAGCGCTACAGGCAAGATTCCCAGCCTCGGCCAGTCCCGCCCCTAAATCGCCTGACTTTTCTTTCCCAGAGTAAACACCGCCTACTGGTTCCCCTCTCGGAACACTTGTATTTGGCGCCTGAAGCCAGCGGCTCTCCTTCTTGAAATGCCATTTGTCCTATTCCGTGGGGCGGGGTCGTTAGCGATTGAGTGGGAATGGGCAAGCAAGGCACAGGCGGGTAACTTTTATTTGGCTGGAAACATTGTAAAAAGATCGCAATGTGGAGTCTCGAAAACGTGAAAAGCTTTAGAGAACATTTAAATCTCAAGGAGGGGAATACTAATTAGAAGTCATTGATAACATTATGTTCCCTTGAACTTCACTTGTCCTGCACCCCGGCAAGGCAAAGGCTGGCTTGGACACATGTAAACGTTTAGTAAATCTCACGGATACTGTTCCAACTCTGTGATCGCAGACAACTTGCTTCCTCCCTCAGTCCCCTTAGGTTCAGAATGCAAAGCGGAAGTGGAGATTATGGTAGCTCAGTTCATTACACAATCAGTTTACTATGCCTTTTATGGGGACATTCGCGGAATAAATTAGGAAGGCAAAGCTATTCTAACATCCACATCTACATTAAGGGTATTTCCAAGCTTCCTCACCCCACAATGTTTATGGATCTAGCTCCCAAAGTTTATCTAAAAATGTTTAAGGATGTATGTTTTCAATCTATGTTACTTCTCTCCTGTAATACTTCTCACACATTTACCGCCTGCTATGTGTAGTATGTTACCTTTTTCGTTTTAGTCCTAATGTTACCTCCTTTAGGCTTTAAGGAGTGCTCCCACAGCTAGCTGTCTTGGATTTGATGGACAAGTCCAAGCTCTACCACCCAAAAAATAAAATTAATGAAAAAGTAAATAAGATTTAGCAATTTGCTTTAGGACAGAGGAATTAATCACAGACCTGAGAACAATTTCTATATAAGTGTATCCGTAGATAATGGGAAATCTAGCATCAGAGACATTAGCACTTCATTTTCATGTCTGGATCTTTTGAAAACAGTATTTATTCACCTATCTTGTTAAAGGACATGGGAACCTGGCTGTGACACTAACTGGAATAGGGCAGGATTTGAGATAAGTATGTTCAGAATTCTCACCACAGGGGTTTAGTTACTAGAAGCATTAAAAGACTCTTTTCATTCATTTATTGTAAGGTGATATGACCCAAATGTTATGGATAACTTTACAGAAAAGGTACAGGCAACTAAAACAAATAATTGGCTCTGCAAAGTTCCAGATGAGGAGTTTTGATTGTTTGTTTGTTTGTTTTAAATATATTTTTATTGATTTCAAAGAGGAAGGGAGAAGAGAGAGAGATAGAAACGTAAGTGATGAGAGAGAAAATCATTGATCGGCTGCCTCCTGCCCACCCCCTACTAGGGATAGAGCCAGCAACCTGGGCATGTGCCCTTGACCAAAATCAAAACCGGGACCCTTCAGTCTGCAGGCCGATCCTCAATCCACTGAGCCAAACCAGCTAGGGTTCCAGATGAGCAGTTTTAACATGCTTCTGAAAAGAAAAGGAGCACCTGACTCATCTGATGCTCACTTATAAAATGTATTCAGACTTAACGAATCAATACTGAGTTCCTGCTATCAGTGAACAATGATTGACTATCTATTATATATCTGACACTATCTTTGGTATAATATTAGCACTTGACTGTAGTCAATTTACTACAACAGCCATTTATGAAGTAAATACAAGGTGCTTGGCTTGATGCTAAAATCTGAAACCAAGATAAATAAAATCAATTAATTGTGCTCAAAGAGTTTCAATTGAGTAAACATAGAGCCAAAAGAGTAAACAGTTGCCACTAAATTTGAGGAAGAAAAGATTTCAATTTAAAAGTGAGAGTGAAAATTGGGGCATGAACTAGGGCAATAACAGGGAAAAGGTTGTAAAAAGAATTTACACTTCCTATTCATCTTTGCTATATGCTCTTTAATCAGTGAGGAAGAGGAAGAATTATTTCTTGGCTTGCTTTAGTTTGGATACAAGGAAAGGTTCAGACTTCGAACCCTTTTCCTCACCACCATTTCAAGCCAATATGGAAATCTATCAGGGACACTGGATCCAAGCTTTGGGACAAATAATTCCCTGGTAAACATTAAACCATCTAAACGGGCATTGATTTGGGCTGGGGATAGCAAAGGTCATTCATTCAGCAAAGAGTAGCTGCCACAACACAGAAAAAGGAGATCAAATCCGAAAGGTCTGGAAGAATAAAGCATTAGAAGACTAGGAGTTCTTGCCTTTTCAAAACTAGACAAAAGAGAAATATCAAAAAGGAGTTCCATCATCACTAGTCCAGGTTTCCAGTAAGTAGGAAGGCCTCAGGCACTACAACAATGATCCTTTTACTTATCTTAGACCTTTATTTCCCTGAAATACACAGAATAGGTGTCCCCACAATCTGAAATGAAGGGTGCATATCCTTCTTCAAGATTTCAGAAACATGTTTTAAGATTAAGGAAGACAAAAAGTAAAATAAAAATATGCAACTTTCTAAACATACAGTTGTTGTTTTAGAATTATAATCTATGTTAAAGGTATACTAGATTGTTCATCTCCCCCAACAACCCTATAAGGGGGCTCTTATTTCTCTTATTTTAGAGGTAAATACTCTGAGATCCAGAATAATTTGGAAGTTGTACTAACTTCAGAAATAAACTCTGGCGCTGGCTTATTTGGCTCAATGGACAGAGCAGTGGCCTGCGGACTGAAGGTCCCAGGTTCAATTCTGGTCAAGGGCACATGGCTGGGTTGCGGGCTTGATCCCTAGTAAGGGGCATGCAGAAGACAGTCAATCAGTGATTCTCTCTCATTATTGATGTTTCTATCTTTCTTTCCCTCTCCCTTCCTCTCTAAGGTCAATAAAACATATAAATTTAGGGGGGAAAAAGAATGGAAAAAATAAACTCAGAACTTAATACATATCTGCAGGACAAAAAGTAGCCACATTGAGAGGACAAAGCTAGAAAAAAAATATTATAAAACTTATGAAGCTAATCCAGAGAATATGGTGTAGACAAGTAAGTCAAAAGAATAGATTAGGAGAAACTAAGATGGCGGCAGAGATAAATACCGGGAAGTTGATGCCGCTCACAACAATTGATTAATACCTTAGAAAAACAATTCGGACATCATCCAGAACCACAGGAAGCCTGGCTGACTGTAAATTCTACAACTAGAAGGAAAGAAAAGCACACTGAGAGCAAGAGGAGCTGCGGAAGTAAAGTGCAGAGGTAGGGGACTCACGTGCAGAAAGGGTCTGGCACCTGAGGACGCGGCTGTCTTTTTGAATCCGGAGGGAGTCACAAGCTCCTGACGGCTCTGAACTTCG